CACTCCTTCAGCTCATCGGCGGTCAGATCACCCAAGTCGTCCTCTGCCATCGGGGTCGAGGTGCTCAGGGCCTGCAGTGCCGCTGCACGGCGAGCATCAGAAACCATGTCCCATATGTCCCATGTGCCGCCATGTGCCTGTGCAGAGCCAGAGTTCCAGCCAGCCCGTCCAGGATAGGGATCACTGAGCAGCGGCCGAAAGATGAGCTGCTCCGAAGTGGCACCTCGGCTCTAGCGAGAAAGACGCTGGCGCGTTCCGCCTCCACTCAATATGGACGCCATGGATGCTACTGACGATTTCGAGATCTGGGAGTCACGGTTTCGTGCAAGTCCATAAAGCTTCAGACAATCGCAAGCATCTCCGAACTTCATGGATGGTGCGACGGAATGTGGTCTTGCTGCAGCTGTTGCACGCATCGCTCGAAGATCAACACCCCAATGAGCACTGGCGCTCGTCTTGAAATTGAGACTCAGCTCGTTCCTGATGGCACTGGACCCAACCCTCTCATTCCGCGGATTCATGATTGGAATATGCTTCTGCTTCTCAGGCTCCAGTCAGGCCCGTGGCGCAATCGGACAGAACCAATCAAGACCTCTCTATGTGTGAAGAGCTCACTGCGGATCCACATGCCCTCGAAGTACATGGCCTTGGCTGCCCGGAACAGGTAGAGGACTTTAGGCAACAAATGACAGCGCAAGGTGCTGCTGTTGTTCAGAGTGACTCTGTATTCATAGTTGCAAGATAGACGAGTCCCTGCACCCATAAGCCAGAAGCCCTACAGATACTCAATAGAAACCTCACGCGAAGAGCAACTGCTGCGGCTGTGGCAGACGGTACAGCTGAGTTTCGCCAAGCAAGGGTTCGCCGGTGATGTGCAGGCCTTCCCATGAAAGCTTTCCTTCTTTCGTCAAGCGGATCGTATACTGTCGTCGATTCTTGGCTTGTTCCTGGGCCACGGTCAGGTACATGGGGATCTTTGTTCGTGGCTTTCGGCCTCACTAAGGCGCGAGCCCAAGTGCCAACCAACGGCAAGAGAGCTTCCACATCTCGCAGATGCTCTTTGGAGCTAAACAGCTTCGTGCCAGGTGCGTAGTCAGTCACACCATACTCCTGCGAAAATGATGCTTTGAGGCTGTGATGCTTTGTTTGCCCACGCACTGGCAGTACATGGCAGCGTCACCCAGACCGGCATCTGCTGAATAAAGGCTCCCAGCAGCTCAAACGGCAAGTGTGGCAGCACTGCCACAACCAAGGGTAGGGCTGCCCATGCAAAATATGCATACTTGGCACTACTTCGCAACTGACCGCTGCAAATCCTGCAGGCCTGTTCAATCCCCATGGCTTCTGCAGTGCCGTCACATTCGACCTCCTTCGCATGGCCTTTCTAGCAAAGTTCAGATCGTCACACTGCAATGTCCTCTAGGCAGCGTCTGATCTCGGCATGCGACAAAGCGTCCTGAAACATGCTGAAACACAGGGCTTGCACAAAGGGCAGTCGCAGAACCCCCTGTAAGGAGGCCAGCCAAGGCTCCACGTTCGCATCGACCTTGCTGTTCGCAAAGATTTCAGCAGCCACTGGATCTGCAGCCTGCCACACGCTAGGCCGGCCCGCCAAGCGCTCTTTATGTCTCTCACGACTCGACTAGGCATCCTCAAAGCCACAACCCTGTGACAGCGTTTTGCCCCACTCCGCGTCATCAGCGGAAAGTTGAAACGGGACGACCCTCCAGAGCAAGACACAGCCTTCTGTGGGGAGCTCGCTGCGCTCATGCGCCATGGCGGCGCTGATTGCTGCCCTTGTGGGTTGCGCCCACTGCCATTCTGATGCCACATGAGCAGCAAAAACAGGAGCTCCAGCAGACCTCATTCCTGGCCTCGGCTAAGCTCCACAAGACCCCGGATAGTTCACTGAACTCTCTCAGCTTTGCCACAGTTCGCTGGAATGTATGGCAGGGAGTTCGACTGCCGCAACTTCTCGCGGGACACGAGTTCGCGAGAAACAGAATTAGAGCGTCCAACTCGACCTGCCCCAGCTTACGATACCTGAACCTTTGGAGAGCCGCTACACTGCACACTGCAGGCTGGATGCGTCTCCATGAAACGTCTGGCTGCCGACATCCCTGGAGGACTATGTGTGCGTGGGCTGTAGGGCTGGAACTGGGACTCTGGGCTTAGACAGCGTAGAAAGCAACCGTTCGTAACATTGGTAACGTACCAATCCAAAAAAGGATGCCAATTCGTGCATGGCATCCCTGACATGAGAAATGAACCGAATAATGGGCTTGTAGAGCCAAAGCTGTTGACAGACAGCCTTACAAATGCATGATGTGCGTTCACTTTTCACGGCAGAACCTGCTCTACACTGTTCTGCCCAGCGTCACGATCTTTTCTCCGGCGCACTCACGCTGCTTCACCCTGCGGCGGGGAAGGCCTAAGGAAGGATGTGAGCAACAGCTGCCACCGCATCCGAGACCCTCCGAAGCAGCCCACCCATCAGCGGCAAGCCGGCAATCTCGTGCAGTCTCCAGGCTGGGACCCATGCGTGCCCAAAGCACTCTGCAGCTTCCGCGCCGGGCAGGCGAGGAAGAGCTAGAGAAATGTCTTCACACTCCCTCTCTCCATCCATCGACTTTTCGAAAGTCCCAGGACCATCAAGCAGCAGAACCCACCAGTCGACCTCTTTGCCTTCCCCGAACCTTGGCACTCTACAAGATGTCGCGACAGACAGAAACGAGTACGCCTCGGAACATCTCGGAAGCCCGCTTGGAGAAGTGCTTGGGCTGTCGGGCTCCTACCATGAGATGCGGGGTGATGCAAAGCCCATGCTGATTCCCACCCCGACCCATCCTGATCCCTGGGCATGCTGTCGTAGATTGTGCGGTGCTTGTGGCACAAGCCCCACATCAAGAAGTCCACATTCTTCAAAGACCTGCGGGCAGGGGCATCACAGGGCTGTAGCACTGGCAAGCTTGTCAAGTCCCGCCTGTCTCGCAGATGTGCTACAGTTTCTCTCGCTTCCAAGATGACAGTTAAAGCTCAACAGTCCAATGGTTGACTTCGTGCTTATACCCTCAGCCGCTGCACGAGGTGCTTGTGATGGCATGAGGATGGTTGGCACAGAACGATTTGAGTATTCACCACATTTCTCGACACTTTCTGTTGCAGATTTCTGCTGCATGTGACGCTGCTTCAGTTGCTTCGGTGGCTCCCATGTGGGGACTGGGAATGCCTGGGGAAAACTAGGTCCGAGATTGACATGCGACGCACACATCCTTGGGCAACATTTGAGGCTTGGCCGGTCTAGCCTCTCTCACCGCCGTGATGGAGCTATCCCGGTCCACGGCATCACGCATGCCACCCACAGTTGCGAGATGACCAGGCATGACCTGAACACTACAAAAGCAAAGCGAATTGCAGCTGTAGTCAATGCGTGCCGGCCCATCCCATCTTAACCAGGCTTCGGGCCGGCATAGCAAAGCTCCGCAACTGCAGCAAAACATACAGATTGCCCAGACTACGTCGAAGGATAACGACCTCATTCAGCAGTAGCACATCCAACTCCTCCGTCCTTCACCTGCCCTAACTTGTCTGCAGCAGAACATCCAATCCAAAGGCGAGCCTGTGCATTCTTCTGCCGTGCGCCAGCATGCTGCGTCCACTGGCCCGGCACAGTTCGGGCCGCAGCGTCGATGCGTCTTCCCTTAGGCTTGGAGCGCAGATCCTCCTCCTACATGCCTGGCCCTTCTTCCTACGCCACAATAGGGCTGGTGACCATGCGCTGCGCCTGCACCTGGCTTTTCCAAGTATGAGGCACTGTTTTCCATGTCGGCCGCAAAGCATTTTCAACTTTTGTTTGAAGCCTGTTTGCGCTTGTGTGTGGAAAACGTGTCCACAACTCTCGTGGCAAACTTTCAAGGCTGTTCCACGGTTTTTCCAGAATCCAAACAAAGTTGTTCCACAGAGAACTTTTCCACGGCTCCACGCTGCGAAGCTATGCCCAGGCCCGGGGCCAACCCCGAGCAAGCCTCAAAGCCCTAAAACACCGAGAACCCTACAATCCGTAAACCCATCTAAACCCCAAACCCTTGCCCGCATGGCATGTCACTCCGGCCGTGAAACCTGTGCCAGGACTGACACGTCGGGCAAACTCGCAGCTTTGCAGCTTCAACCCATTGGCGTTCCCCCGAGACCCGATCTATGAATGCGCGGAAAAACTTTGGTGTTTGGGAACAGCTACGGAAAAACTGCACTGCGTGGGAAAGTTTTTGTTTCAGGTAGCCAAATACATGTGGAAAGATCGTCCTGCGCCCCAAGCAGAGGCCGAGTGCCACATAGGCTGTCCCTCAAACAGTGTAGGCACCCCTCAATCCTAGGCCCTGGGCTGAATCCTTTTTTTATTCGGGGCATCCTTGATCCCGGCTCCACCTCGGGATGCAAGAACCAGCAGTCGGCGCGAAGACAGTGGTAGCCGTATCTGCACCATGTGGTGCTTGGCCCGTCGCTGGACCATAGCATGGCTACGCCATGCGGCGATCAAAGCCTGCACATGTCTACTCCATGCCCTCGAAATCCCTCGAAGCCATCTGCAGCAAGATCCCGGCAGCATGGCCCTGATCTGCTACTGCTACGGCTCAGAAGGCTTCACATCATGACCGAAAGTTGACGCGACTCCGCGTCTGGCCTGGACATTAACATGTGGAAATCGCAAGAACGTGGCGCTGCAGGTCTTCGCAGGAACTCACAGAATGTGCTTGGTCCGGAACCAGATCTGGCTCCAGGTATGAGCAACGAACTTGCTTGCCTGTACAAATCCCCGGTGCGAGCCGGAGCCACGTGCGAGGCACGATTGATCCAAACTTGGCATCTGCCAAACCTTCGGAACGTCATGGACCTACCTTTGTGCCGGAGAGCCTTGCACGAGCATCAGTACGGCTTTGAGCCCCCTGTTCCTCATGCACGGCATTTTTCCCAGTAATTAAGAAATTTCAAATTACAGCAACCTACGCACGATCGCGCAGCATGCCCTCAGTCCAGCTCGCCAAAACTTGGGCCACCTTTCCGGCAATGGCGCCCACCTTCTTGTTCTTCACGAAGTATTCCTAAAAGCTCACGCTAGAGGAAGGGTGTCTGTCAACACTCGTGCTGTGGCGATCGTGTCATGGCTTACTGCGTTACTGTCGCAATGGTGCAGCAACTTGCGACCTACAGAGTGTGTCAGATTCCGAGCATCGTTGGTGAGGTGGCTCATGCCAAGGCAGATGGCGAGATAGATCCTGCCCGTGTCAACGCGAATGATCTCAACGAAGACCACGCGTGGTTGCCACGCCAGCTTGGCTCTTTGCGGCTTAGCAGCGGGAAGAATCTCGTGGACATTGGCCCGCCCCACAACTTTTTCGCGAGCACCTGCAACTGCGTGGGTGCTTGGCAGTGCCATGCTGGTGACGTTGCGCCTTCTTGTAGAAGATCTGGCCAATCGGGCCATGCCTCGACGCGAAGCAGCGTCAAGCACCGCTTGCAGCGTAGGAACGGACAACGCAGAAATCAAGGCCGGATGCAGGATGAACATCGGGAAGGCGATGGAACCGAGGGTGGCCATCGGCTTGGAGCCAAAGAACTTAGTAATTGGAGCCTCATCGGGGAACACACATGCATGCATGGCTACATCCATACAGTCTCCGGCTGGAATCTCTCTCGTTTCAAGCCAGCAGACGGGATTCGCTGTCAGCGCGTCCCGATGCATCTGCGTCAAGAACTTGGTAAAGAGCGGCACGAAGAGAACGCCGCGGATGATGGCATCCTTAGCGCGTTCACTTATGCTGCGTGTGAAACTACTGTAACGTAGGCCGACGTCGCGCAGACTCTTGGATTCTCAGCCTCTCACGTTGAAATCAAACTGGGTCAGCCGGAGGCCCAGAGAAGCATACGCAGCCAAGAACATCCAAAGAGGATTCCTTGAGAAAGCGCGAAACTGGTTTCTGCCGATTAAGATGACTGACGCCCGCTTCAAAGCTTGACTTGAGCATACTTGAGCTGCAGCGGCGTGGTCGGCTTCTTCTTGT